CACGGAGCATCCCATCCCATCTCCTCCTCAAAATCCTCCCGCTCCACCGAAACAGCCTCTGGGCCTCTCATCATCGACGCCGCGCGCAACAAGATCACACGCGCCTGAGCCCGCTGCAAAGCCACACCTATGGCCGCTTTAAGTGATCCAAGCAAGTAAGCCGAGAAACCTTTCCCCGTAGCTCTCGCCGCCCCTTTCGTCTTCGCTACCTCAATCTGCGCGTCGCCCTGTTTCTTAAGCCACCGCCCAAAACTCCCCCCCAGGCAACCCCATGTCTCAGCAATGAGAGGTGTAAACTGCACTCCCCTATGTCGCTGCAGAAGCAATTTGTAGTCCGCCGCCTTCCGCTTTTCCCTCTCTCTAGCGGCAAAACCCACCTTGCGACCAATCTGTCCATGGTGCTGCGCGGACAACGAGATAGGGTCCACCACACTAACCTCCAGCGCATGCTCCTCCCCCTCCCTCAGTCTCCGCACCGCCACATCCACCCTCTTCCCTGGCAGCAACGTGTCGTCTTCCATGGTCACGACCCCACCCGCCCCTTTAGCTATCTTCGCCACCACAAACTTAACCGCGTCGTGAACACGAGAAGGTGCGTACTGGTACTTGCAGCGAAGGGCATGATGCGGGTCAGAGGGATCAGCAAACTCAAACCCACACGCGCACTTGCCGGCGACTATCAGCTGCTGTATGGGGAGGCCTAGGCGCATGGACGCACAGATGCTCCACTCGGCTGCGGTGAAGGTAGCCTCTTCGTGCGAAGGGACGGCGGAGACCCACGCCCCTGCCCCCGGGCCCTGAAGGGATGTCAAACGGGCCATGGTGGCGTCGTCGTGGGCCATACCCCGAAGATTCTGCAGACTCTCAACCGCTAGGCGACGGTGTTGTGTGGGGAAAAGCAGCACAGGGGGGTCAGCGGTGCATAAGGCTAGGGGTGGCATCTCCTGCCTGACCGACTGTGGCAGCAGCTCCACTGCTCTCGCAAACCAAGGATCCAGCAAGGTCGTAGCTTCGGGCGTGCGGAAAAACTCCTCAAACATCCGTTCCTCCCCTGCCACCCCCATCCGAGCCACATCGCTCACTGCCTGGCACCAACCACATGCGTACGACAGAGGGCTAAGGTCAGCTGCAGATCGAATGCCAAACCCTCCAAGTCTGGCTGGAAGGTGCAGCTGTAGACGAGCCATCTGCGACCTTGCCGAATCATGATCCCAGGTGCTATCTGGAAACAACTGCTCAAAACAATCCTCAAGCTTCGTGTCCCAGTCGCGGAAAGCCTCCACAACCTCAGGCCGTGGAGGCATCGTCCTTGTGAGGTAAATCGGGCGCGCTGACACTGCGATCGCCAGCAGATGGGACGCAATCTGTGGGTGGTCGAGCAAAGGAAGCCAAGGGACAGGTGCATGCAGCTGCATCAGCCGGCCTCGCAAGCTGGCCACCTCCCACTCCTCCTCCCCAATAGGAACCCCCACCACGGTGAGCCCCGTCCATGTTTGCTGCATGCCGGGCGGGACGGTCTCGTTCCTCTCCTCTCCCTCCTGGTCCACCCCTCGCTCCCAAAGCTTGCACTTATGCGGCTGCACCTCCAGACCAAGCCCACCCAGTCGTTCCCGCAAGACCTCATAAGCTGCTAGCACCCGCTCCCTAGGCCCCAAGATGTACGTATCATCGGCGTAGCTGAGAAAGAGTAGGTCGGCGAATTCTTGTTTGGTGGGCTCCATAACCAGCTGCTGTGTGAACGCGAACAGAAACGGCCCCAATGGGTCCCCTTGCCTCGATCCTCGCTCTGAAGCCAAAGCTTCGACGAAGGGGCCCGCACGGAGGTAGAGGTCGCTAGGAGTGCCGTAGAAGACACGCAGGAATGGGATCAAACCCGCAAAAGGCGACTGTCGAAGTCCTTCAAACATTTCCCGCCGATGGAAGGAGTTGAAAGCATTCGCCACATCAATTTGAAGCGCGCACCATGACGGGTGAGTAGAGATGGCAGAACGAAAGGCATGTGCGAGGACTTCCACTCCCGACCTGGATCCGACTCCTAGCTGGTTACACGGCGCAAAGTGCGACATCATCTTCGGCCGAAGCACGATGCATAGGGCCCGAGATAGTATGCGGGGGAGCACCTCGCCTATAGCCACCGGGCGAACGTCATCATTCGGCTTCGACAGGCCCACAAGGTTGGACGCAGTGAGCCAGGGTCGCACGCGCTCCGCTACCTCTCCCTTGGTCCACTGGGTGAAGACTCCTAGCAGGTGAGGCAGGTATGCGGGCTCAGAGAGAAAAGTGTCGCGCAGGTGCTCCGTCACCCACCCCGACGGTCCTGGTGCCGACGCCCTAGCCGCAGAGTGGATCGCCTGACCAAGTACCTCCACTGAGAGCTGCGGGATAAGGGAAGGCTCAACTATCTCCTCCTGCAACCACTCCGGAATGGCGGTCTCGCTCGATGGGTGTTTCGCTCGCAGCGCGTCCACCATGTGCTGAGAGGGCTGAGCGATGCTACCGGCAGTAAGACACGCCAAACCCCGACTCCATTCTCCCACTTTGCACCTTGTGCGGCAGCGAGCCAGGCGCACCGCATCAGGATCATGCTCGGGGGGGGTGAAGGACAAAGGACGCGCCGCAGGTTGCATTACCGCCACCGCCAACTCAAACAGCTCCCGCCACTCCCCGACCCAAAACTTCTCCAACCGCTCCCTGATTGCCGCCCTATGCCCCTGGCCTTGCCCAGTTGGCATCCCCAAGATAAGACGAGGGAAGGCCAAAAAGACCAAGGACGCCGCCTCGTCTGTTGCCTTTAACTGTAGCCGCTTCAGGACACAAGACAGTGCATCAAGCACCCCCAATCTAGCGCGCTGTGGGATACGACGCATGATTCTCCCTGGCACCAATTCGATCCCAAAAAACGACTCCCAGTCCCATGTAGGAACTGCGGCCCATACCTCTTCACTGATATCACGTGGTGGCGGGGGTTCGCCGTCCGAGTCATCTGTGACGTCGCGGGTCAACCCAAGCGCCTGAGCACGACGCTGGGCGTCCGCTGCCCTGCAGGCCGACATATGGCGTGTGGCCTTTCCTCTCTCCGTGAACGTGCGATAACAGGTTTCGCACGGAATGCGGGGCGGGGGTGTCAATGTAGGGTCTGGGTGCTCCTCTCCACTCGAACACGCCGGCAAGACCCTCCTGCTAGACTCCGTCTCCATGCCCCCCTCTAACGGCCTTGCAAGCTCCATCCCTCCGCACTGCAGCTGCTGCTGCCCTCCGCTCTGCAACTGCTGCTGCCCTTCGCTCTGCAATTGCCGTTGCCCTCCGCTCTGCAGCTCCTGCTGCCCTCCGCTCTGCAGCTGCTGCTGCCCTCCGCTCTGCAGCTGCTGCTGCCCTCCGCTCTGCAGCTGCTGCTGCCCTCCGCTCTGCAGCTGCTGCTGCCCTCCGCTCTGCAGCTGCTGCTGCCCTCCGCTCTGCAGCTGCTGCTGCCCTCCGCTCTGCAGCTGCTGCTGCCCTCCGCTCTGCAGCTGCTGCTGCCCTCCGCTCTGCAGCTCCTGCTGCCCTCCGCTCTGCAGCTGCTGCTGCCCTCCGCTCTGCAGCTGCTGCTGCCCTCCGCTCGGCAGCTGGTGCCCTCCGCTCTGCAGCTGCTGCTGCCCTCCGCTCGGCAGCTGCTGCTGCCCTCCGCTCTGCAGCTGCAGCTGCCCTCCGCTCGGCAACTGCTGCTGCCCTCCGCTCTGCAGCTGCTGCTGCTCTCCGCTCGGCAGCTGCTGCTGCCCTCCGCTCTGCAGCTGCTGCAGTTTGGTTGCCCGTCGCCTCCGGCCCCGGCCCCGCGCTCGGGGCCTTTCCGCTTGGTCCGGGGAATCAGGGTTGGCATTCTCCCCCTCCATGGGGCTTGATTCCAGCTCATCGGTGCAAGCCTCGTCCGCCATCTCCACATCCAACACCCAATTGGGTGGGGATTGGGAACGTTTCCGCGGGAGACGTTAACAGCAGCTACGGATGTCCCAGCGGGGAGGGCGGCGGCCGCGCCGGCGACGGCGGTGTCGGCGGCGGCAGAAACGTGGCACGTGCCGCGGATTAGCGATCGCCGTGGCCCGAAGCTGGCCGCGCCGCGCCGGGCGCGGATGATCATAATGCCGCCGCCGCCGCCGCCGCCGCCGCGCCTTCCATGTCGCGAACCAGCAAGTTAAAAATGGCCGATGCGCTGTTTTCCGCTGCACTCGGCGGAGATTACAATCATTGCGATACGAATCAAGGTCGCGGTGCGGAATCGTGCCACGAAAGCTCTGCGCTCCCCCCTGTTCTCCCCCCTGTCCTTCCCCCCGCCGTCCCCCCTGCCCTCCGCCCTGCCCTCCCCTCTCGAGCGCCTTCATCGGCGCCTTCCCTCTCCGCCCCCTTGGCCCGCGGGCGAGCGGGGAGTGCCCTCAAACCCTCCGACGCACCGCGCTCGCGACGCTCGCGGCGACGCGCCGGAAGGGGCAGGGAGAACCGTAGCGGGAACAGGAGCGGAAGCGGGAGTGGGAGCGAAGGGGGTGCGCGGATTAGAAGTAGCCGATTCCCCGCCTCCCGCCAGCGCCGCCGCCCCCGCCGCGGATGTGAAAGTTGAGGGGTTAAAATCTGCAGCGGCGGCGGCGGCGGCGGCGGAGGGCAGGTACAGGTGCGATATCTGCGGCGCGCGGTTCCACAAGCCGCAGGCACTGGGCGGCCATAAGGGCAGCCACCGGCAGGCGCTGGCGCAGCAGTCGCAGGCGCACGCGCAAGCGCTGGCGCAGGCGCAAGCACAGACGCAAGCGCGCGCGCAATCACAGGCGCAGGGGCAGAAAGGCTCGACATCGTCGCCGCGCCCTGCCACGCCAGGTGTGCGCGCGAGTTTCGGGCGCCCCCTCGCGGAAGGGGCGCAACTCGCGGGCACACGCATGGTGGGCGGCGAAGCTGCGCCCCCGCCGCCGCCGCCCGCGCCGCCGCCCGATTCGTTCAAGGCGCCTCCCGAAAACCTCAAAGGCTCCGCAGCCGCCGCGCTCATGGGCGCAATGGCGGACGGACGCGCGGGCGGCGCCACCCCCTTGGCAGCGCTGCGGCATGCGATGCTGGCGATGGCGTCGGTCCCAGCGTCAGATCTGCGCCATCCAACGGCTCCTAATCCGCGCCCCGCCCACCCTCTCCCATCCGCGCCACACGACACGGTGCAAGAGCCAAGCCCAGGAGCCGCGCACAGCTGGCTTGACAGAATCGCAGCCTTCGGCGGCGTGGGCAGCGGTAGTGGCAGTGGCAGCGGTGTTGGCAGTGGTGGTGGCGGCAGTGGTGGTGGCGGCAGTGGTGGTGGCGGCAGTGGTAATGGCGGCAGTGGTAATGGCGGCAGTGGTAATGGCGGCAGTGGTAATGGCGGCAGTGGTAATGGCGGCAGTGGTAATGGCGGCAGTGGTAATGGCGGCAGTGGTAGCGGACAGCTGAGCGGGTTACTGCAATCCGCAGGAAGCAGGGGCGGCGGTGACTTTCCAGATTCCGTGCGTCTGGGAGGCACGGCTGCTCTTGCAGCTGACCACCACCTGCAGTCCTGGGCACATGGTAGCAGTGGCGGCCACGGCAGCAGCGGTGGCGACGGCGGCGGCGGCGGCGGCAGCAACAGCTGGAGCCTTTCCGCGTTTCTGGAAGCTTCCACGTTTGGGTCGGTTGCGGGTGCGAGTGGCGTGGGAGGCGCAGGAGGGTTTCCGTCTGGACACAGCAAATTGCAGCCCGAAACAGGTGGAAACGTGTCGAGGAGTGGCGATGAGAGATTGACACTGACAGGGGCGGAGACAGCTAACGTGCCTGGAGCGCCACAGATATTAAAATTTCCTGCTGCGCGGGAAACGTCCAAGGACGTGGGAATGCGGGAGTTGGAAGCTCTTCCTGTGTGTTCGCCTGGGGTTTTGAAGGACTCGTGGGAGAAGCAGCTGCTGACCTTGTTCTTCCAGCAGCAGCAACAGCAGCTGCAGCAGCAGCAGCAGCAGCATCAGCAGCAGCAGCAACCGCAGCAGCAGCAATCGCAGCAGCAGCAGCAGCAGCAGCAGCAGCAGCAGGGGCTGCCCTTGCAGGAGGCAGAGAGGTTGGGAGCCGACGAATCGAGCCTGTCGCTTTGGTTCAGGCAGCAGCTGAGCAGAAGGCTTGGGAATGACAGGTTGGGAACAGGTTCGGTGGGTGTTGTGGAGACAGATGGGGATGGTACTGCTGCTGCTGCTGCTGCTGGTGGTGTTGGTGGTGGTGCTGCTGCTGCTGGTGGTGGTGGTGCTGCTGCTGCTGGTGGTGGTGGTGCTGCTGGTGCTGCTGCTGGTGCTGCTGGTCCTGAGTCCGCATCATTGTTATCTGGCTTACAATCAGGTGCTATCAAGTTTTCTGAGAAGCATTTTGAAGCAGCAGGAGAAGAGCAGAAGGAAATCGGTGCTGGGCCTGACATGGTCCGAATGCAGGGGGGAGGATGGGACAGGATGGAGGGGATGGAGGAGGGAGGAGTGGGGCGGAAGAAAGGGAGGGAGAGTGAGGAGGGGAAGCAGAGGGAGGTGGGGGAAACGAAGCGTGGTCGTGTGGACAGTGGTGCTTGCTTGAACTTGTCGCTTTCAGGGGTGTGGGACGGTTTCAACGGCGCAAGGAGTGGTGTGGTGGGGAGAAACGGGGGGGACGGAGGGAGCAGAGGGTACGGAGGGGAGGGAGGTGAGGGAGGAGAGGGAGTAGAGACGAGGAGTGCCGTGATGTCGAGTTTGGTGCTGAGGCGGTGGGGTGAGAAGGGCAGAAGGGAGGTGAAACCGGCGGGAGGTGCGTGGGAAGGGTGTGAGGAACGGGTTCTTGAAGTGGGTCGAAAGGGAGAAGGAGGTGGGTGGGAAGGGTGCGAGGAAAAGAACTTTGAAGTGGGTAGGAAAGCAGGGGGAGATGTGTGGCGAGGGGAAAGGGTTGATAAGGCAAGGGGTGCTGAGGCGATCTTTGAGTCGATTTCTGAGCCGACTCAAAAACTGGTGGGAGGTGCGTGGGAAGGGTGTGAGGAACGGGTTCTTGAAGTGGGTCGGAAAGGAAGGGGAGGTGGATGGCGGGGGGGGAGCCCGGAGAAGGGCGATGATGAGGCAAGGGGTGTCGGTGGAGGTGGGAAGAGTGGGGCAAGAGATGGCTTGGGGACGGATTTGAGCCTTGCTGTTGGTCAGGGAATGGGGATGGGGAGAAGAGGGGAGGAGGAAGAGAGGCGGACGGAAGAGAGAACAGTGATTGCAGGGAGGAAAGAGCGGGGGGATTCTTTGGCATCCGTGCTTGCTTTGTCAACAGCAGGATGCTCTGCAGTGGCTGCTGCTGGGGCCGGGTCCCTTCCTTGCAGCATTGCAGCAACCAAAAGCACCCGTTCTTCTACTACTGCAGGGGCTACGTTGGCTTCAGCAACAACGGCTGTAGCAGCTATCGCCCCTGCTCCTGCTGCAATGATGGCCGCTGGTGCAGTTTTGGGTCCTGGATTGCTTATGGCGGCTCCTGCGGTTATGGCAGCGGCTGGAGCAGTGGAAGGAGGGGGGGCAGGGAGTGGTGGCGTGAGGCTGTTTGGAGTTGATATGGTGTTTCCTCACTGAAAGGTGGCGGGGTTTCGGATGTATTTTGAGTCGACTCAAAACGCGGCTGGATGGAGCAGGGGAAGGAGGGGGGGGTCAGTCAGGGCAGGGAATGGTGGTGTGAGGCTGTTTGGAGTTGACATGGTGTTGCCACACTGAAAGCTGGTGGGGTTTCGGTTGCTTTCGGTTCCTTTCTAAGTGCTGGTCAGTGCTGGTCAGTGCTGGTCGTCGTGACGTGAGTTCAGACTGGCTATGAAACTTTGTGGCGAGGCGACCGCAAGCCCGAGTACGGTATGATGGAGGAATTCATTGCCTGGGGTGGGGCAGCTGTTGCATTGCATTGCATGGCACAGTGCATGAGGGTACACTACCGTACTGCCGGTACCGTACATCTTGCTCAGTTTACTGCTGACTGACCGACAGGCGGAAATCAGACTGACTGACTGACTGACTGACTGACTGACAGCACATCCGTGCTGCTCTTCCTTTCATAGCTCCGTGAGTTGTGACGCGTTTGTCACACAGATTGTGTTGTGACTAGCCTTTGCTTAACTTGAACTGCAATACAACACGCTTGAACCTACCTATACCATGCTCTATGAGGTTTCCTGCTTAACAACTAACGAGTACTGTACAGTGGGTCTCATTGAATGGGTGTAGTGGCGGGGGAGGGAGGGCCGAAGTGAGGGGGGAAAGGACAGGGAGGAACAAAAACGCTGCATTCGTGGTGGGAGGGGAAAAATGGCTGGAAACTGTCTTCCACCTGCGCTGTGCTGCTGCCATCGGCGGGTCAAACCGGAGTGGCTATACACAATCCACAAATCACAATTCACAATCCATCAGCCATGAGCCACAGTAGTATACCGTACGACCATCTCGTGCGACTGTGCCCATGCCTCATCATAGTAGTGTCAAGGGAACTGCTACCAGTAAAATGGTGTTCCCTTGGTTGCCATCGCTGCCATCCCTGTGAATGCTGTGACAGCATAGCTGCCGTTCTTTTCTTGTGACCGTTGCACAGTCTCTTCTTCTCCTGTTTGAGCAGCCTGATATAAAAAATGTCAGCGTGTAAGGAGAGGACTTTCTTTGAGGCGCCTCAATCAAACATCGTCACGTCACAGGTCTCCCAAGTGCCCGTCGCACAGTCGCTTCTTCTCCTGCTTGAGCGACTTGATCTCTGAAGTCCACATGTAAGGAGAGGACTTTCTTTGAGGCGTCTCAAACAGCCTCACAGGTCTCCCAAGTGCCCGTCGCACAGCCGCTTCTTCTCCTCCTTGAGCGACTTGATCTCCCGCAGAATGCTCTCGTCCGCTGGCGCCCCTCCGGCGATCGTTTCCTCGAGAGTCGCTATGATGCGCTCTATGCTGCGAATCTGAGAGAGAGAGAGAGACACACACACAGCAGAACGACATTCAGAGAGGCAGACAGATGTGCAGATGAACGGACAAACGAAAGGATGGGAAAACGTCGCACAAAGGTTGCACATTTGAGTAACTTTTGAGTTGCTTTCTAACAAACGCAAACAGCAACACAACGCCCTATGTGGATGTGTTCTATATATCCGCTGCGTATCATTCTAACTGTTCACTCATCAACCAACCTGTGTCTCATCCACTGTGGGCAGATTCTCTCAGGTTGGCTGATGATTGTTGTTTGGGTGGCTCAGGAGGAGTTTGAGATTTCTCTGAAACCATCTGACCTTTCGATGCGGCCACTTTTTTTTTGTTGACTCAAAAGTCGATAAAAACTTAGCTTAGCTTGCCGGCCTTACCTTGCGATGCGGCCACCTCCGCATGCCATGGCGCCGGCAAATCTTTTTCAGGACAGTCGGGCAGATGCCCAGCTCCCGGGCAGCCTCGTTGATGGGCAGGTGGAAATGTTTTGCGAGGTCGGGCAGCTGAATGCGGCCCGACTTTTCCCTCTGCAAAAAGAAAATCACAGACAGGCAGGTGGATGGGGAAGGGGAGCAGACGGTTTAGAAGGGTGGGTGGCAGGGGTATGGAAGAGGAGGAGGTGGGGAAGAGCTTGTGATAAGCACGTGTGGCAGATGGAAAAAGGTTGGTGCGAGAGCGTGTGTGTGAAGGGACCACACAACAGGCAGGCAGGTAGGGTGGTAGGTGTAAAGCAGGTGCATCTTAGTACTGGAGAGGGGGGCACTTGGAGTGCGTGGGGAGTGACTTTTGCACTGGCTGACCCAGAGGCGCAAAGGTAAAGGGGCAATGGGTGTGCATGAGAAGCTCAAGCGTGAGCCAAAACGTGTATGGAGTACATAGTGTCAGAGCAAAGAAGAAGATAGTGCGAGGGGAGGGATGTTGGGTAAGGAGGGCCGCAAGGGTTGTTACCTGTGCAGCTGCATTACTCCTGGTTGCACCACCAGCAGCATTGCCGCGAGCACCAGTCGCAGCAGCAGCAGCAGCGGCAGTGGCAGCAACAATAGCAGTGGCAGTTGCAATGGCAGCAGCAGTGGCAGCAGCAGGTGTGAAACCCAAACCAGACGCAGCATGGGATGGGGTAGCAGCTGATACAGCAGCAGCAGGACCACCAGCAGCAGCAGGGATGGACGAGGCAGGTATGGTAGGGGGAAGAGGAGGCAGAGGAGGACGGGGAGTGGCAAGAGGAAGATAACTCGGAAATGCAGCTCGCACCAGGGCTGATCCCTGCCCTTCAACCTTGATGGACTGATGGTGTAGCTTTGCTGTTCCTCCTCCTCCTGCTGCCCCTTCTTTCGCTGCAGCAGAACTAGCACCAGCAGCAATGGTAGAAGCAGCACCAGCGCCAGCAGCACCCACACGTTGTCTCCCTTTCCTTTCACGAATTACACTGCCCACACCACCAGACGCAGCAGGTACTGCAGCAGAAGGAGCTGAAGCACTGCCTGTGGCAGTGGCAGCAGCAGTGGCGCCAGAAACAGATGCTCTGATTTCCAATGGGAGCGATCCCTTAGCCTTTCCCCGTCCCTGTGACCCTGCCTGTGTTTGACCCTCTGCCTGCACTTGCACACGCCCTTGCACCGCACTCTGTGCTGCAGATTGTGCTGCCGCTTGTGCCACACTGTGTGCTGCAGTCAACGGTGGTGCTGGGACCACTGGTGTAGTGTGTGGTTTAGTAAGCGGCGATGCCGTGTGTGGTGCAGTGTGTGCCGTAGTGTGTGCTGCTGGTCTCTTGGCTTGAAGCCCCATCATTGTCCCCACAGCAGCGCTGGAGCCCCGTGGGTGCGTCGAAGGAGATGTGAGGTGCGAGGACGCGGGGTGAGATAGACGAGTGGGATGAGCGGCGTGAGAGGGGTTAGAGAGGTAAGAAGTGGTGGGATATCCAGACGATTCAGCAGGCACTGGCGCCTGCTGCTCATGCTTCTGCTGCTCCGTCTGCTGCTGCTGTTGCTGTTGGTGCTGGTAATGCTGTTGCTGCTGCTGCCGCTGGTGCTGGTACTGCTGCTGCAGCTGCAAGTGTGGGTGCAGGCCAATAAAGCAGTCAATGTCTACTGCATCATCGCACACAGCAGCCTGGTACCCCTGCCAACCCCTCTCCATCTCCTCCTCCACCCCTTCCTCCCAGCCCTCATCTACCCCCCTTCGTCTCTCCTCCTCGCCCTCAACCGCACTCAACTCCTCACCACCCAACAAGGAACCAGGACGAGCAGAAGCAGGCTCAGAAGGAGCAGAAGGAATGGCAGTAGCCGCAGTAGCACAAGGAGAATCAGGAATTGGACAGTCGGAGTAGTGAGGGGAATCAGGGCAGCAGTGGTTGGGGCGCCGTTGAGGGGAACCGCCATGTGAGGGGTGCGGGGAGGTACTGGGACATTCGGAGGGTTGCGGGGGAGCGGGGCAGTGGGAGAAGAAGGGGTGGAGGCGGGAGAGGTGCAGCGAGGGGCTGAAGGAGTGGTGGCAGAGCACGAAGCCGTCCCCATGGCGCTGCTCATCGTAGTGCAGCAGCAGATGCGCTATGAACGCCGGGGAGTCGTCTGGTAGGCTGGGAGCGGTGGGGAGCGGTAGGGACGGGTGGAGGGGGGTGGGATAGGGTGGGGTGGGGTGGGGAAGGGAGGGAAGGGGTGGGGAGGCATGGGCGGAAAGGAAGTGCTGAATGAGTGTGAGGTGGAGAGCAGGAAAACTATTGGCATGCGATGGGGCATGGTATTGCAGCAGCAGGAGCGGGATTAAATGCAAGAGGCGGGTTTGATTGGTCAGTTAGGGGGGAACAGGAGGAGAGATGGAGGTTAGGGACCGACGGGTGGAGAGGTTGAGATGGAGGCAGAGAGGGTAAAAGGGTTTGGTTTGAATTGGCGTGACTGTTGAGAATTCTCAAAAGTCACTCCAATATTGGAGGCGGAGAGGGCAAAAGGGTTTGGTTTGAAGGCAAGAGGGTTGGGGGCTGGTGCTGGTTGAGAGGTTAGTGGCTGAGAGGGGGTTTTGAGGGATGGGGGATTGGTTAACCAGGGGATTTAGGATGATTGTGAGAGCTCAGATGGCTTAGTTATCCTACTTTTGCTCTCAAGTGTAGGTAGGAAAACGAGAAGGCACGAGAAGGGCGATGACAATCACAAAAACATCACACCGACTCAACAAGAAAAACAAACATCAGCAGCAGCAGCATCAGCATCTGTGTCACCGTAGCCGGGTTGCTCTCACTCAAGTCGTTGCTGCTCAAAACAGATCGTGCTGCCGCTGCTGCTGCCGCTGCTGCCGCCACTACCACTGCCGCTGTTGCTGTTGCTTCCATTCGCGTTTCCCACTCCCACTCCATTGCCACAATCTCCTGTTGTCACTACGGTCAGAGAGCTCATATTCACTGATGCGTCTGATCCCCCCCTCGGACGCTCTACCATACCTCCCTCCTCCTCCTCCTCCTCCCCCTCCTCCTCACCCTCCGCCTCCTCTTCTACATCCCCTTCCTCTTCTCCCTCTTCCTCTCCTTCATCCCTCTCCGCCCCATCTCCCCCTTCCTCCTCACCCTCCTCTCCCTCCCCTTCTTCCCCCACCTCGGTCAATGCCCCTCCCTTACAGCTCCTGCTGCGGCTACTGTGCTCGTAACGGACCACAGGCCGGGGATGGCACCCGTTAGCACTCCACACGGCGTTGCTCATGCTGCTGCTGCCATTCCGCTCCGCGCCTCGCCTCGCCCCTCCCTCCGCCTGTTGCTGCCCCGAGCCGGTGACCGAGGAGATGCAAACCAGGCCGGATTCGGTGGTGCTCTCTGTCTTGGGCGTCTCAGAAACCACCATGCCCAGAGGCAGCGGCAGTGGCTGTGGCTGATTCTGCTGCGGCTGCTGCTGCTGCTGTGGCTGCTGTGGCTGTGGCTGTGGCTGTGGCACGTGGGAGCTGAAGCGTGTGAGCAGCACGGCGTGCACGTCTGCATCGCTGCCTGCCCCCATATGCACCTCCAGACGTGTGTCGTACAGACCTGGAGGGAGGGCGAGGAGGAGGATGATGGGGGAACGGAAGAGAGGAGACGAGGAGTGGGGTTGAAAGAGTGAGAGGGGGAGTGAGAAGGAATGGGGAAAGGGGCGAGGACGGGGAATGGGTGAGTGAAGAGGGAGAATGAGGTGGCAGGAAGCGCAGCAGCAGCAGCAGCAGAAGCAGCAGCAGAAGCAGGAGCACAAAAAGCACCAAGACTGACCGTTGGTGTGGAGCAGGCGGTCGAGCACGGAGCATCCGTGGCAAGTGGCAGCTGCGTGACCCATAGGCGTGACCACTCTCGCCGTGCCTGCTGCCACGTCCCTGAACTTGACATTCATGTCTTGCAGTGTGAATGGCAGCGATGTGGGCACCACGGGTGTCTGCACGTGGATCAGCCCTGAGGTGGGCAGAACGATGAGTTGCTCTGGACGGGCAGAAGCAAGGGAGGCAGAAGCAAGGGAGGAACAAGCAACCATGGCACCCGCTACCTCCCCATTGCCCCCGTCTTCTTCTCCATCCCTCTCATATTCCCCCACTTCCTCCTCCTCCTCCTCGTCCCCGCACTCCTCCCTGTCACCTCCGCCACACGCGAGCTCAAACCCCTCTGCTTCGCCACACTCCAGCGTATCACCTTCCCCCGACCCACCTTCCACTCCCCCACCTTCCACTCCCCCACCTTCCACTCCCCCACCTTCCACTCCCCCACCTTCTGCTCCCTCACTTCCTCCCTCTCCCTCCACAGGAAGGTCCTGGGAGGAGCGAGCGGGCTGGTGAGAGGGTTCACACACCACAGCATACCGCTGAAACTGGGACTCTGAGGGCTCAAATTGGAGGTAATAGCGGGAAGCTTCGAGGTCCTGGCAATCCATTGAGCCGTCATAGTGGTAGTGGTTGTGGCGGTGCTGGTAGTGGTGTTGGTGCTGCTCTGCCTGAGACTGCAGCATGTCATCCTCTACTGAGCTCTGCAGTAGCTCCTCCTCGTTCGATGCAGTCGCGGCGACGCCAGGTGTCACAGCCGCGCGTGTGGGCAGCACGCGTGTGGGCAAAGACTCGCTGAAAAGCACGTCTAGGGAGTCTCTCGCTACCGAAATATGCGGATGCTGGTACGGGTACGGGTGCAAGTGCGGGTGTGAGCTCGAGTGTGAGTGGGGGTACGGATGCGACTGAGGGTGTGGGTTCCAAAGGGCAGATGGAACGGGGATCGGCGACTGCGGGAGAGTGAGCAGCGGAGGGAGGAGCAGGTGCGCGAGGAAAGAGGAGTCGTAGTCACAGGGAGGGGGGGTAGTCGAAGCGAGCTGCGTTTCATCTTCTGCTACTGTCGTGGCAAGCCCTTCACCCCTGTGCTCCTCCAATTCATCTTCTGCTACTGCCGCTCCCAATCGCGCTCTCGCTCCCGTTCCCGCTCCCGTTCCCGCTCCCGCTTCCGCTTCCGCTACCGCTTCCGCTTCCGCCCCGACTTCAGCCCCCGTTCCTGTTCCTGCTCCCGTGCGCGTGCGCTCCCGCTTGTTGCGCGGGCTTCTGATCGGGGTTCCGGAGTTACTGCTGGGAGTGGTGGCATCACCTCGCATCAGCGAGTTCCTTCCTCGCTTTCCACTAGAAATAGGGGTGAACGTTCCAGGAGTGCCAAAGGATCGTTCCGGAGCCATTCGAATTGCCATTCCCAGCTTGGACGGACCTGGTCCTGTTCCTGTTCCCTGGTGATTGTCACGTGCTCGGAGGAAGGGAGATGCGCCATTTCCGTTATTCCTGTGGCAAGGACGAGTATGTTAATCCACTATCTCGCTTTCCTCTTCCTCTGCCGCCCCTCTTCTCGTTTTGAGAAGGAAGGGGGGTTTTCCATTCTGAGGCGGGTGGGTGTAAGAAATGTTCAGAACAAACGTACCCTAAATGGGACGGAGCTCGCAGGGCTTCCAGGCGCCCCGTGGCTGATCCCCGCCCACTTTCCGCTCCTCCTTCCGCCGCTTGCGCCGTATTGCACGGCGGGTTGTGCGGCAATTCGCATCCAAATGCCTCCCTCTGTTCGTGCTTCCAAGGCGCGACCTGTCGAAATTCTGCCGCTGCTGCGGTGAAAACATCCGCGTCATCATCGCGCAACGGCGGGAGCGCTTCGGCGGCGGCGCCTGCGGCGGCTTCGGCGGCGGCTTCGTCGGTGGCGGCGACGGGGGAAGCGTGTTCAGCGTCCATATAACCATGGTCGAGAGGATAAGCGGGATGAAAGGACGCTGCGAAGTCAATACCCGTGGGGAGGGACAGGGGCGACTCAGACGATCCGCCGCCATAGAAGCAAGCGACGTTTATGGAGTGCGCGTTGATGGATTGCACGAAAGCGGCGGCTGCGGAGCCAGGCGACAGGCCCGTCGGCGACCAGAACGCGGAGGATGGGTACGCGGGCGATGGGTACGCTGCGGCCGATGATGGGTAAGCGGCGGGTGATGGGTACGCCGGCGATGGGTAAGCGGGGGACGGATAATGGGCGGAAGGTAGAGGTGGTGGTGTCTGCGAGGTTGCGCCGTCCCACACGACCGCGCCCTCTAAGGGGCACCCGCCGTTTATCGCGCGGCTTGCGCCGGCGGTCGCGGCGGGAGAAAGGAAGAAATCGGAGGAGAGGGTTTCCAATGGGAGCGCGATGGAGCCGACTGCTTGAGGCGTGAATGGCTGGAACGTGCCTGTATGCGAAGTGGCTATATGGGGAGTTTCCGAGACCAAGGGGTATGCTGGAAAGTCCACCTGCGTGAATGGGTGGTCAAGGCGAGACGCTATATCGGGAGTGGAGTGGTCCGTAGGGAGTCCAAAGGTGTTCGCTACGGTGAAGCCCTGAGCTGTTTCGATAGCGTAATTCGCGCGGTGCGTCGATGACGGGGAAGATAAGGACTGGACGCATTGAAGCGGACGGAGCGGCAGTGAGATTTGTTGATGGCTGGGAGGAGCAACGGTCGACGGAACGAGGATTGGTGTAACAGGTTGTGCTACTGCGGCCATTCTCCAGCCGGAGAAATGGCGGCAGCGAAAGAAAAACTTGCTCTACTACCACCGCCGCCACACAAATTGTGACAGCAATGGAAGAGAGAAGCCTCCTTCTTGGGTCACGGCCACCCACCCCAGGACCTCAGCCGCAACCTTTGATCATTTCTGCTGTGGCCGAATTTGGGAAAAAGAAAGGCGGTTGGAGGAAGATGAGTTGGGAAAGGAGGATCGAGGGCGAATTGGCTGTGGCTGGGGGGGAGAACAAAATGCTCGTTTGAATTTCCAAATTGGTTGGTTTGCAGTTGTAACCGAGACGCGGTTGGACTCGAGGCGGTTCGCGCGCAGTTGCCTTTTCGGGCGACGACTCGCTGACGGATGAGGAGAGCCGTCGCACACTGTTGATGGGTGGCGTTGAATGGCTCACGTTGAGTCACGACCGATGGCGAGGATCGTAAGCGTATATGCGAGGAGCGGGCTGTTGCGTGGACGTTTGCGCTCGTCACCCCCAGCTTTGGCTGGGGAACCGCAGCTATGACCAGGCATCGCCCAGCCGATTGGCGAGAGAATTTCGTAACCGGTTAGCTAAGAATTCGCGTTTCATTCGTTAGTACCAGGCGTGTAACCAGAGGACATGCTACACATACTACTATAATCAAGGTTCTGTACTACCATGGTTCCTTATACAAAGACGAACTACAACATTTCAACATTTCTCTACAGAAATTATGTGCACATCTTATGTTTTCTTTGCAGTGATAAAGCGTTTTTCTCGCGCAGACAAGGATTCAAACTCCCAGTAGTTTACAATCTGCAGACCGAATCAGAAATATCATTGGGGCCTCAGTCTCAGCCCAACAAAAGCAACTCAGATATAGCAACACAAAGAGTGGACTAACCACAGCAGCTACTCATGAACCCTTGTACTTTGTAACAAAGTTGAGACCCAGCCATATTCCAAAACCAGACTAGGACTGGTAAACCTCTTCACTGCTCTGTGAGCTGCAGCGCATCCAAGTAGAGCCCATTCTTCCACCACCCACTCTCCGTCTCCCACAGGCGCATACTCAGCGTGGGAGCCACTGCCGTCTCCGCTGCCGTTGCCCCCCTGATGGTCACACGGCCGGCAGGCAGGGTGGTCCAGTCAGGCAGCATGGCGATGGTGGCAGCGGAGATTCGCAGCCGCCTCTGCTCGCCCCCCCCTCCCCCAGCACTCCCCTCCTCCCTCACGTTGCTCAATGCAGGTTGCCCCACCCAATTGAACCAGCACCGATTCTCCACTCGCCTCCACGCTTCCCTCCTCCGCTCCCAGGCCTGCTGCTGCTCTCTGCTGTGCTGGCCCCGATCCCGCCCTATCAGCCGTCGCATGAACCCCACCATGTGGTGGAACGGGTTTTCTGCACCGCCACCGCCACCGCCCACGTGCGAGACATTCGTTGCTTCGGCCGTTCCCCTCCAACCTGCTGGGCGCTCTCCGTCATGCACCCCTCTCGCCCCTCCCTCTAACTCCACCTCGCCACCCTCCTCGCCCTCCTCCTCCTCGTCTTCATCGTCGTCGTCATCACTCTCTTCCCCCATTTTTTCCCACCGCCCCGCATGCCTCTGCTGCTCGCCTGCTGCGCGGGCGTACTCTTTTTGCGTCGGGTCGCGGGAGACGCGCCATGCCATGTCGTACACCCCGCAGCGCAGCGGGAACGGTAGCGCCACGTGTCCGTTGACATCGAACCAGCACACCCGGAGCAGATGCGGCACGTCGGGAAACACCGCGCCAGTGGTGTTACCCCGCGTCTCCATGTGCCAGTAGCGAGGGTCGCCCATCCACGTAACCCCACACGCCTTCGATATACTCACGCTCACCGTGAGCTTGGCGGTTCGGGAGTCCATGCGCGCGTGGAACACCCCGCCGTCCAGCAGAACTCCGCGGCACAGCTCGCGGCACCACGCGCGCGGGTGGGGTTGGCGGGAGGCGAGCGGCAGCGCGGTGAAGCAGGCGTGGCGGCAGAGGTCCGGCAGCACGCGCTGCCACGCCACCGGGGACGCGGTTGCGGCGCGCCAAGCCGAGCAGACCGAGGCAGAGCGGGCGATGAGAGCGGGAGGCAGGAAGGAGAGGACGGACGCGAGACAGTCGTCAGGGAGGTCCGACATGACCGTCTCCCTCGTTGCGGCGGCCGCCATTGTCTCAATGGGAGACTCGACGTATTGTACCGCGGCCGCTGCCTAACTTCGTGGTGCTAATTGTATGACAATTGTGGGGTTTGTATGATATTTGGTACTAACAATGTCGAGCATCCAGCTAATGTCCAAGTTAGGATGCGGCTGCTGCTGTTATATCTGTCCTGTTGGTGAAACGATGCGTGTGTGGGACTCTTGGTGAGGGAGGGAGGTGCGGATGACTTGTTGTGCACTCCAGTTGTGTGGTGGGAATCACATAATTTCCCCCACAAAACAATTTCGTGTGGCTGGTCGAATCACACAATTTCCTCAGCAACGATTCCGTGTGGTTGGAGCTCCTGGTTGCGAACACCCAACGATTTCGCGTGGATGACACTGCTTCGCAATTGTCTCACAGTTTCGATGCTCACGAAAAACCATGGGGCCAACATCACAGGCATGCAAAATAGTATGGTAACCCTATTCGATTGTATGCAAAACCGTCGATACCTCGGTTTTGGAGTTATTGACATATTGCCCTAGAATTGCGGTTCTATGTACTTCAAAATCAGATTTTTACCACGCTTTGTTGTCCTATAAAACTCGATTTATTCGGGCGACTGTTCTGCCATATGAGCAGCACTGTTCGCTACACCTGCAGAAAAAATAAAACCCAATCGGAAAGGGATGCGACTCGGGAGGCATCAACCCAAAAAACAATGCCCTTTCCCGTGTTTAGGGTTGATCCCTCCCTGAAATGAGTCCCGGTCCCTAGGGTTTTTATACGGGCCGTCACAAAACATTTAGGAGTTATCACGAGTAGTCAAATGTTCCGCCAAATCTATCACGGACAGTCACAAAATCCGCCAAATCTATCACGAACCATCACACGGGTATCACCCGCCGTCACTTAAAGGCACTAATTTCTATCACGGGTAGTCACACTCGAAACTTTGCTATCCCAGATGAGCCCTGTCATCATTTCGTTGACCCGCCCTAAAACACTGTACAGATTTAGGGACTTTATTTCGGGTTGCTCGTTTTTGTCTTGTATACGCGACCATTTTGGGTGCAAAGATACCTGGTTACGTTCGAATCGTCGTAACAAAACATAATGGTTCACAAATTTTATGAAAGAATTCGAACGCATATATGTATTGCTAGAGTTCACAATTCATTGAATCTGCCTAAATGTTTATCAAAATGTTAAACAATCCATAACTAGGAACGCAAGTTATATTTTTTTTTGTATGATACGCCTCATACCAAATCGGATTTGCACATATCAGAATTGTCTGGCAAAACTAGCGAAGGATTTTGGGTATCACAAGACCCAGTTTGTAAATGATAGAACATACTATATACAACCGTTAAATCACAAAATGACATGTGATTAAACATTCTGGAAGATACTTTAAATCGTTAACTCTAGAAATATATATATCTATGTGTTCGTTTGATATTGTGTGTTACGACGATTCGAACGTAACCAGGTATCTTTGCACCCAAAATGGTCGCGTATACAGGACAAAAACGAGCAACCCGAAATAAAGTCCCTAAATCTGTACAGTGTTTCAGGGCGGGTCAACGAAATGATGACAGGGCTCATCTGGGATAGCAAAGTTTCGAGTGTGACTACCCGTGATAGAAATTAGTGCCTTTGAGTGACGGCGGGTGATACCCGTGTGATGGTTCGTGATAGATTTGGCGGATTTTGTGACTGTCCGTGATAGATTTGGCGGAACACTTGACTACTCGTGATAACTCCTGAATGTTTTGTGACGGCCCGTATAAAAACCCCGGTCCCTAGGGGTTTTATTTTTTTCTTGCCTGCCCTAACAGCACCCGGTAGCAATATATATTACTTTCATTCCAACGAATTTTCCGGTCGAAATTATCGTGCACATTCAACGGAAAGTTGTTGCCAGCAGGAATCGTTGTCAGGCGCCAAACAAGGCGCGGTAAGAATAGAATGAAAAGAAAACGAAAGCGTATTCGATTGTTGCACGTATTGCTTTCTTTTTGTGCTGCGTCAGCTGTTACACAGTGTTTTGAGTGGCGGTACCAGACAGATTTGCGCAGTGGAACTAGGGTATCGACGGTTTTGCATACAATCGAATACGCTTACCAGACTGTTTTGCATGCCTGTGATGTTGGCCCAAAACCATGTCTGCACGGAAACACAGACCCTTGTAACACATGTGAAATAGCCGATTGTTTGATTGGTTGGTTGTGCGACTGCGCGAATTCTGAACGAGTGAGTACTCATGGGGATGGTGAGTGCTTCGTACTGGCGCGAACCCGTGCAAGCAGAGCACACTTGGGGCTGCCCAGTACGGTGCAGTACACCGCCTCGCAACGACTTGCACCAGTGCGCACCAGTGAGAGTGTGTACTATACCGGATTGGCTTGCGTTCATGTCAGCCAAGAAGCCCAGAGACCTAGAGCACCGATGCACGTTGGCGCGCATTATGCGGACTGCACCGATGTTTTCCGTAGGGGGTTGTTACGAGTGCAATTGAGTGAGCGAGCGAGAATTGCACTATCGAAGCAAAAGTACAAGGCATGAGCGAAGAATATATAGCGAAACTACAGTGGTAACGGTAATGGACTGTGGTTGTCGCGTGACGGGCCTGGGACTGAGATGGCGTTCACAGCAAGTTCGCTCAAAGCGAACCGCGCTCAACAACAGTGCACAGATATTTGTGAAGCACGTGTTTGGGGTTGCTTCACGAAAAGTTGTTCAAAACGATCTTGAAGTTGCTGGGGTTACATGCTGTTGATTGGGTTTGCTATTTCGCTCAAACTCGTCTACCTATGTATCCACATTCGCATGGCCCGTGGAGTGGGTGTGTGTTAAAGTTTAGAAGAAAAAGAAGAGAAGAAGAGGATTGCACTAGCAAGAATGGGGATACAAATAGGAAACCCTAGAAGGGTTGTACTCGCTATAGAGCACCCCACTACAGGCTAGAGCATAAGATAACATTCTGACACACCCCCATAGCCAAAGTGGGGTGTAATCAGCAGAGGAAGCAAAGGAGTACAAGCTCAGGGTGGATCACAATGTCACCACACATTCTGAGCACAAGTTCAAGAAGCAATAGTTTAAGTTCACAATTATGAGCAAAGCTAGTGGTAGTCACAACGGGCAAGTGAGGAGGAGGAGAGAGAGTGAGAGGAGAGGAGATAGGGGGCGACGGCTGAAGCTGCAGACACACGGGCAACAGGAGGCAGACTGGCACAGCGGCTACCGGACGAAGTCCCCGGAATACAGGAGTAACAGGCCCCACGGCTAAAGTAGCGGCAGACGAGCAACGGACCCACGGGCGGCTGGCACAGCTGGCTACGACTGGGCTACCGGACGAAGTCCCCGGAATACAGGTGCTGCTGGCGACACGACGGCAACCTCCATTCAGCTTCCCCAAACTATCCCACTCCCCCCTGGCACACACCCGCTGCTACACCGCTAGCTCCACTCCCCCTTCACCCCCCCTTAGTACCACTCCACCGGCTCCAACACGTCCACCCCCCCTCAGCGGCAGCTGCAGCACAGGGAGACGGAGGAGGAGGAGGAGCAGGCGACGCCACACACCTGCCACCCCCCAACCGCCACCCCCCAACCGCCACCCCCCAACCACTACCCCCCAAACCCTAAAAACAGGGTAGGGAGGTAGGGGGGGGGGCAACGCGCGGCCCCCGGTAGACTCCCCTCCCGTCGCCTGTCGAGGCGACCCTGGGGGGGGGCCGCTTGCGGCCCCCCCCAGGGCGCCGCGACGGGCGACGGGAGTTGGGCCGGGGCAGGTCGGGGCCGGGGCAGGTCGGGGACGGGGCGGGGCAGCAGGGGCCGCGCACGGCTCCCCTGGGCAGCGCGACGGGGCAGCAGGGCCGCGCGACGGGGCAGCAGGGGCCGCGCGCGGCTCCCCTGGGCGGCGCGACGGGGCTGCAGGGGCCGCGCGCGGCTCCCCTGGGCGGCGCGACGGGGCTGCAGGGGCCGCGCGCGGCTCCCCTGGGCGGCGCGACGGGGCTGCAGGGGTCGCGCGACCCGCCGCGCGCCTCGGGGCGCGCGGCGGGCAGGAAACCGCCGCGCGCCTCGGGGCGCACGGCGGGCAGAAAACCGCCGCGCGCCTCGGGGCGCACGGCGGGCAGAAAACCGCCGCGCGCCTCGGGGCGCACGGCGGGAAGAAAAACTGCCGCACGCCACGAAGCGTGCGGCACAGAGAGTAGCAGTAGCAGTTGCAGCGGAAGCAACAAGGTGGTGAGCCCACCCACAGGATCGATCCAAGGGGATCGACCTGCTCTGATAGCATGTTAAAGTTTAAAAGAGAGAAGAGCAGAAGAGAGAAGAAGAGAGAAGAAGAGGATTGCACTAGCAAGAATGGGGATACAAATAGGAAACCCTAGAAGGGTTGTACTCGCTATAGAGCACCCCACTACAGGCTAGAGCATAAGATAACATTCTGACAGTGTGGTCGGTTGCAAAACTGCCACGCTGGACCGAATATTCGCCCTGCGCGGTTCGCTTTGGGGGAACTTCGCTTGAGCGAACTTGCTGTGAACGCCATCTGAGGTTGGGAAAAGTGTCGAAGCGGAGGCCCGGAGCGCGGGTTACCCGCCGAGCCGTGAGGTCGGGGTGCGACGTGCGAAGATGGCGGGAGGATTGTCGATGCGAGAGTTGCGAGTGGTAACGGTGCTGACTGTGGTGCTACAGTGGTGTACGCGCTGAGCGGGGACGCGAAGTAAGGAAAAGGAATTTTCCTTACACTACCCCCCCCCCCCTAAGGAGGTCCTCCTTAGGAAAGTGCGTGTACATCCCTGAAGTTTCGGCTACGCAGATACTCGGTGAGGACGGGGTGGTTTTCGATTCTATCCAGGGGAACCCAGTTGTCTTCGGTGGGTGTACGGTCTTTCCAGCGGATCAGGAACTCGATCCTTCGGGCTCCTCAAGGGTCACGAACTCTGTGGCTCAGAATTTTCTCGGGGTTGACGATTGGTTCGGTCGGCGGTCGTGTCATGCTGGCGGGCCG